GAAGATAGTAACCAATGATGGGTACATTCATCCATCGAGCATCAAATACTTCAGTCATTAATTCTTTTAGTCGATCGACAAGTACGTGTAGTTCATCGATATGATCAAAACCTGCATTGCCAAGAAAGAAAGGAATTGCTGCATCATGAGCAAGATATTTGATATGATGAGATTGTAAAATATCAGATGAATGTTGGTGAAAAAACTCAGTGACGATTGTTTCAAGTTCTAAATCGAAATGACGAATTTGATTTTGTCCAAGAGCTTGATGAAAATATTTTGTAATTCGATTTCGATCTTCCATCGATCGAAAACCAACACCATTACTCATAATCATTTCAAGTGGCCAACCTAAATGAACATTTCGTTCGACCCTATTCTCATTATGTTGACTCCAGAACTCTTTCACAGCACGAGGATGAGCTAACATCAGAACTGGTTCAGGCCCCATCCAAATACGATAAACATCTGGCCGATTCAGATCTTTATGCAAATTGTTCAGAAACTGACCATTTTGACTTGCTTGAATAGCAGCTAAATCACCAAAGAATGATTGATAATCAGTACCGGATACTTGTTTGTTATTCTCATCTGATGTCGAATACCATTGACCGCATCTCGAGATTTGTCGTAGGAATAATTTATACGGATACCAGATATCATAAGCAGCCATAATCATTAGAAAGATTGGAAGCCAGTATTGATGAACAATCAGTCCCGAGAACTACGCAAATAGAAACGAGAAGAAGTTGTTTTAAGGAAAGAAGAATATAATAATTGATGAAGAGGAAATTACCTGAAGTAAAACAATCAACAAGAAGACACCTAGAGTTATTGTGACCGTTTGTGATGATTCTTCTGCCTCTTGTGAACTGACAGACAAGGAGGAAGATGGACTAGACAATTCCAATGATGATAAAGAATTGTCAATGAAGAGGGAAAGTGGAAAGTCAATATCATAGATGTGACACATTGAAGATGGAGAAGTATTGCTATTTTGTTTGTAGTTTCGTTGCATATATTCAAGTAAATTGGTCATTGCTTGACGTTGTTCATTTCCATTGCTATTACCAGTGTTCAAAGTCGGATGAAACATTAAAGTACAGATGTGACCTCCATAATCAATTCCATCTAATAGAGCTGGCAATTCATTGATCACATATTCGCGTAACAATTTCAGATCTTTTTGCTTGTAATGCTTTGATGGATTTCGTGCTTCCATGTACGTTTGACATACCTAAAAACAGCATATTCTCATTCTTATTTCGTGTTCAGATTTGACAATTGATTGTCAAGTCAACTGTTCTGTTAGGATTCGAATTGAGACTTCAAAGAACAATTGAAGCGTCTTATATCAAACTATTCAAAACTGATGCAGGAAGAAAATTGAACATTTCGCTTAGACATACATATGAAAGTGTGAAATGAAAAACTTCAATTTTCAAAATTGTTTAAGCACTACTATCATTATGATGGGTGTGACTAAAATTCTTGTTTACAATGAAAGCAACTTCATCATGTTTCGCATTACATTCAATGTTGATATCAGAGAATTTTCAAGAAAGATTGTTACTTATCTAACCTTGTCAATGAGTTGACTAGATTGAGAATCAACATTGTTGATAAAATGTCGATAAAGTTCGACACGGGAATCATAATTACTAGACCTGAGAATATCATTCCATTGAATAATTTCAATCATTTGAGATTCTGTTGAAGAAAGTTGTTGACAAGCATCATCAAATATTTGACGTATTTTTCTCCCTTGTGCAATGGCTGTTTCATGTGCACGTTTATCATTTTTATGTTCGAATACAGCAATACTATATTTTTGAATTTGATCAGCAATCAAAACTATTAATCGTCTCGAAGGAATCTTTTTAAGAACAAATTGGAGAATTGAATAAGCAAATTTGACAGCAGTAGAATGTGACGAGAAGATCAGTCGAAATTGTGATGGACTAATCGTAATAAAAGCCGGCTCTGTTGTCAAACTTAAATTTTCAATTGTACAATCTTGCCATGGATAAATGCTAATATGATCATCATTGAAAGCAATCAATTGTGACTGAACTGATTCAGACATTGCCAAGGTTGTATGGTGAAAATAATGACTTGTTGTCAATTGACATCTTTTTAAATACTATTTTTCCAATATTAGAATGATTCAACTTCCTGATTGAGGGAAAAAAAGTCAAATTGAAAAAGTTTTGGTATTAATGATCGCCATTATGGTACAAAATAAATTATTATTTTCCTTTCACTTAGTGACTTCCTAAAGCAAATATGAGTCACATATTGGGAGAAAATCCATTCTATTCCTGATATTAACCATTATTAAGTACATAAACCATAATTTTGATCATCATAGAAATGATGTAATGCAAATATGTCTAACTACAATAATTGATGATGATTCATTCACTTAGTTACACATATTTTTGGGAAAAAACCAGTTCGCCTCCTTTTTATAATATGGGCAGTCAAACAAGATAGTTACACATTGCAAACTAATAATCAAACATAATGTCAGGTGAGCAGTGTAATCAACTATAATTCATATATATATATATATATATATCTTTCGGATTATCAAATCACTTATCGTCTTTTAAAGTGTCAATGATAACGAGATGAAGGGATTGAAAGTGACATTTTGAAAAAGAAAAAGAGTATGATTGAATTTTTCAAACAGGAATTGAACGATTGCCTATTTCAAATTGAATTGTTTTTTTGTTCATTTCTGTTTGCAGAGAATAATGAAACAAATGATGTACAATCGATATATTGTCGCATCTTGAATGTTGCCGAAGGAATTGAATTGCCGGCCGTTCAACTCAAAGATGGCAGTACAGTACAAACAGGCACTGTCGCTGCTATGTTAAAAAATATTGAACGATTCAATAATGGCGAAAACAAAGAAGGAGACGAAGCACGACATGAACTTGAACGTTGTGTACCTGTCTTATTACGTGTTGGTCTCTTTCAACTATTCACACCTGATGAATGGATCAATAATAATGGTCAACAAGATAATCCCGGCCGACGATTCGTTGGTCAACTCGCTAAGCAATATCATGCCGAACATTCATCATAAACACACAAATATGATATTTTTCTTTTTTTTCTATTCATGAAATAAATGATTCCCTGTGGGTACTTCATATGTTACACTTTTCTCTTGGTGTTCTTCAATGTATAGGAAAGAAAAAACAGCCATGATTGATTGATCAAAAAAAAAAAACGAAATAGGAGGTTGATATTATCGCCAAAGGTAATCAGTGTGTGTGTATGTGTGTACGATCGTCAAACTGAATGATTCATATGTCAATATACAAAGTTCTCTTGGAATAATTTGGCCAAATCAAATATGTACGAAATAAAAACATAATGAAACATGATTATGGAGCAACATGACGTCTAAATCGAAAGATATTCTATGGAGTCATTGCTATTCAAGTTAACACTTGCAAGCAATAGTAAGCCAGCTTTTAATAGTAGAGATTTCATCCAAGAAATGTCTCAATCATCATTCAAATGTGTCCTTTGAGCGTTTGAAAAACGAAAATCGTCCAACACAAAACAAATATGTGTCATGAAAAATATTCGAAATTTCACAGAATGAGATTCGAAACTTCGTTATATTTTTCGTCTTTATTAACAGAACTTGGTAATTTTCTATCTCTACGATTAATTCAAACATATTATTATTTTGAAAGAGATCTAACATAAAATCAGTACATACGATCAATAGAAAAGTAAAAATACGGTAAGTAAAGTTCTTTTGTAATAATTACCTTTAACAAAGTGTAAAAGTGGATTTAAATTTATTTTCTGAATGTCAAAACACTTTAAACATCTAAAAATTCTGAAAATCACAGGAAAATATGTAAAAAAAATGCATTGGAACTGAGAATGGTGTAGATGTGGTGTATAGAAGAAGGAAAGTCTCAGCCATACCCACACTCAAAAATGGTTTTACAAATATGATTTGAAAAAGAATGTTTTTAGGACAATTTGCTTTCGGTTGTCTGTGTACGAGACAACTTCAGTGATTTGCCAATTGAATTCATATCTTTTTTAATGAACAACTTTTGATCTCGTTCAGTTCTAGTCATCTTTTCTTTGTGGATTCTTCATTCGAACAAATTTATTAATATATTCATTCGGATTTTCTTATATTAGCTTTTAAAGAGTTTTCAAAGAAATATAACAAGGATTCAACGTTCTCGATTATGAACAGTATGAGATTGATTATTTGGACGCGACTATGCCGATAGCTGGTGCATAATTGATGAAGTCATCGTAAAATGCTCTATCTTCAACTTTTGGATCACTTTCCAAAGGTACCCATTTAAAATAGGTAAAACCTGCTCTCTTGAATGCTTGCTCGTAAGTTTGCGGTGACAGATAGTAGGTAATATAGGAGAATGATGTATTTTGTTGGTCGTTGAAATGAGTATATTTCACTTCGGCACCATTATGAAGTGGCCAATTGCTTAAATTGGTTTCACGCATGAAAGCATATTTGTGATGTTTCTCATTATTGTAGGTCGCTTCACTACCACAAACATTAGTAATGACACCGAAGAAAGTTTGTCCATCGGCCAGTTGTTCACTGATGACACGCACCATTCGTTCAAGTTCTTCACTAGTTCGAGCAAAATTCAGCAAATAGAAAGCTGTGACTACATCGTACTTGATAGAAGGAGGAGTGAGCATTTGAGCATCAGCCACTTCATAGATGATACCAAATGGTCGTTCTCGTTCTTTACTTCGTGCAATATCAATCATAGCTTGACTAATATCGATTCCAACAACTTCACTAGCACCTAATTGCTCTTTCAATTTACCTAAACAACATGAATATAAGTATGGAAATATTCCGTTGAAAACTAATCAAATTGATCATTTCGAAAAGCTCTCTAAATGGAAACCACACTCTAATGTAAACTTGCTGGAAATGAGACTCTTTCTCGATCAAACACATCCGACTTCAATATAGTCGTCACTCTATTCAACGACTCGAATTCCAGAACTTGGAAATATTATTCAATCATATACTTTTCACAAAGCAGGATATCTAAGCTAGAAAAAGTAGAAAAGAATTCGACGAAAAAGAAAGGTTCGAATGACAATGAGATGTTTCAAAAAAAGCCATATAGGATTCTTGAAATAGGAAATCTTCACAATGTAAACACGTGCACAGAGCCTACGAGATTTTCAGATAAGGAAGTTTCTATTGTATTTTAAAGACAATTTTGATTGCTTTTGTCGAAAAAACAGAGAAAAGTATCAATGTCATCTGAACTAAAGAAAATGAAACGATCTTTATTTCTTTCACACTCACGTGTATAATGTCCATCGCCGCAAGCAAGGTCGAGCACACGTTTTCCTGCTAGTAGATCATTGTGTTCATGAATAGTATCTTCTTTGCCGAGAACTGGCAAAAACATTCGATGAAGAAATGTAAAATATTCAACATCTACACGGAAACCATCCTTTTTTTTTGACAGCGCATATTCGACAGCACAATTATCGTATTGAGCCATGAGTCAATCAAATTGAAGAAAAAATTAATGAGTGTACAAATCAATGTACATTCATCTTATTTTATAACATTCGACAGTGGCACCTCATATGCGTCCTTTTCCAACATGACTCATCAACATGATAATTAATATGAAAAAATACCCAACATAATATTTCTTTTTCTTTCCATCTTTGACTGTATTATTATTATTACTCACAAAATAAACTTCCTCATTTTCAATCCCAAAATGAAAAAAAAATCCTACAAATAAATTTGAATGGGAATATTCCTTTTTGGCTAGACTATTTTAACAGTGTAAAACCAGTGATTGATCGTTATTGTCATCAAATTGACTTTTTTTGATTGTATCTGACAGCAATACTATGTTTCGGGATTGGACTCATTCATCGAATGATTCACGCGATTCATCACCTGCACGACAGAACTTTTCTAACATTTTGACAACACCTAAAGTTTCAAGTTCTACAAGGACAAATAATTTATCTTCAAATGTTCCACCAAAAATGGTTATTCCAATCGAACGAGCCAATGAGGATTATCACAACAATCATACAAATCTGGATGAAAACAATTTTTTCCAAAGCAAGACAGCCTGTGTGACAGGTGCTGGTCGAGGTAAATTTGAGTGAACATCTTCAAAAGAAGTTCTTTATCTGTTCTTTTTCCTTTCTGAATAGGTATCGGTCGAGCTGTAGCTCTTCGTCTTGCTCAAGCAGGCTGTTCACGTGTTATTGCTTTGGGAAAAACAGAAGCTCACTTATTCTCTTTATCTAACGAAGTAAGACAATGATTTAGTTTTGAAATGGAACTATCTCTTTGATGCATAGCACAAAAATATCATTCCCATTGCTGTCGATGTTTCTCATTGGGTGACGACAAAGGCAGCCATTCAACCTTATTTACCTATTCAATTGTTAGTAAACAATGCCGGTGTTCTCATTCTTAATGATTTCCATGATATTCATCAAAAAGATTTCGACATGTAAACATCTCAAATTGTTGTTTTCTTTGCAAAATATTTTCATTTTAGATCTTTTCAAACAAATGTACGACCAATTATTGGTCTTACTCAGGTACAGATAGACAATAAAATCGACTCATTTATTCTTCCTTGTATTATCATTCCACATCAATCTCTTTTAGGAAATAACTCGTGATTTAATTGCACGAAATTTACCGGGAAGTATAGTCAATGTGTCCAGTATTGCTTCGGCTATTGCTGCTCAGAAATTTATGGTTTATGCAGGAACAAAAGCATGTATGGATGCATTTACACGTAACATGGCAAATGAACTGGGTCCTCATCAGGTATCATAAATGTATGACTATTGTTGATTTTTCGAATTTTACTTGATTGTTTATATAAAGATTCGAGTGAATAGTGTTCAGCCAACTGTCGTCCTCACTGATATGGGTAAAGCAGGTATGAATGAATATCATGACGATTTCTAATTACTATATTCGAATCGTTTCACTATCTATCTAGCTGGATGGGAAAATGAACAACAGGCAGCACCTCTTCTTGCCAAAACTCCGTTAGGCCGATTTGCAGGTCAAATACAAAATGAAAACTGTTTTCAATCTATTGAATTCAAATCATTCTCTTTATTTTCTTTTCTAGAACTCGATGACGTTGTTGAACCTATTCTTTTTCTACTTTCAAACAAAAGTTCAATGATTACTGGTACTTGTCTGCCCATTGATGGAGGTTATCTAGCGACATGAGTACTTTAAAGAATGAAATAGTCAAGAAATCTCGATATCTTTTTCAAATTTATTTGTTTGAATATTTCATTTATTAACAAAGAATAAATCTCAACTAAATTCTATATATGAATCAAATCATATGTATATGTTGAACAACTGGAGTCACACTCTTCAATCGCGTTTAGAGATACAAATCAACATTAGGGTGAAAGAATTTCTCTCTTCGAAAATAGTAGCACCTTCTTTTTTTTTCTTTGCTGATTTGTCGTGCTTTTCAAGTTTTCATAGATTCTCAATAGTACTATGCATATTCAATTTTTACTTGTGTCCTTTGAACACTGAATATCAATTTCTCATACTTCTAGCAATAGAAGATCGCATTTCTGTCTTCACCCTGATTTAGTATTCTAAAACTTGAGGGTGTACGTGTGTGTGACTGTGTGTATAGCGAAACTGAACACCCAACACATCCACGCTCTACACCTCAGACTTGAAACCGATCCGGTCAGATCGGATCTGACAGGACCGGATTTTTACCAGTTCATCATTACAAATTGTTGTTTGCACCCAAGAATTTTCTCTACTGAAAACGATGTTTTTATGAAATTTTCAAGTCAGAAGAATGTGTTTGCGAAAGACTCAATAGATATCTTGTCTTCAACTTGACTATAAGCGATTGATTGTTCTCTTTATAGCTCTATCGATTTCTTTCTCGTGTGTTCACTCAATTTAACCTAGATTAAATAATTTATTTTCTGGTTCCATTTAGGCAGTTGCCTGAATCAAGAAAAATAAATATTTACAATTTTGGGTTAGATTTGGGTGTGGGGTGTGGGTGTGGGCGTGGATGAAGAGAATACCTACATCTACAGCCACACTTACGCTCATACCCACACCCACACCTACACCCACACCCATACCCTCGATTTGATCGGTGATTGTGACCCCGAAGGGCCGAAAGTAATGCTTCAGTCTCATGAATTTAAAATTTTTAAGTTAAGTCACCGATCACGGCTTGTCTTTTTTCTTTCTTATCAAAATCATATTTAAGTTGTATAACCTTGCAATTTGTGCAATTCTTTTTTTTCTTCCTTCTCTTACGCAATTCAGAACAGAGCTTGTGAAAGTACAGATATACCAAAAAAATGTTGGGTGACAGATGCAGGATTTGCCCTAGCTTCACCATATTCTTTTTCGTTTATATCTTATTTGGCATTTATCTGCATTAAATATGAAGATCACCAAGGTCTATTTTAGCTCAACTTCTAGTACTGTTTAAGAATAGAAAATGCTAACTATTTTGCCATTATAATACTTAAAAGTGTTTTTATTCACGCATTGTTTTGCATAAAGTTTGAACGTACGGATACAATCAAGTTAGGTAAATGCACAATGAGAGAGAAAAAGTTGTAATGAAAAGTGCTCTTTTCTTCTTTCTTTTTTGTATACGTAAGATTATAATAATCATTTTTCTTTATCTCAATAAAATCTGCATTCTTTTTGTCAAATATTTGCCCACCTGTATCATACGAAATACTGCATTTTTAATACAACAGATTTTCTTTTGTCTAGGTGAATGTAACGCTCCCGCTTGAGTATACTGTATGGCATAATGACCGTATCGTTCTTATATTTTGGTCCTTATACTTTGTCCTTATATCTCTTTCTTCCCATGTATGGTCTTATGTTATTTTCTGTCCTTATCATTCTTTCCTTCTCTCTGATGGATAAATATATAAGCATATGTTTTGTATAGAAACGATACGATTCTTGGTAAGAAGAAATGCAATAAAGCGTAGTTCCATCAGCGCTAACTCTTCTTCTATCTAAAATCGTCACAGTGAACAGATAAAAAACTTTTCAGCACGTTGTTTTTGAGTCGGAATAACTCTAACATTGTCCTTATTTCGAAATTCAGTCTATAAATCATACTTCGTTTCCTCTGTCTTCAATAGATTCATACGGTAATTATGATGTTAAAATTGGTTTATTTTTACACACTACTAATATTTTATTGTTCAAGACCAGTTCAACTTAAATTGGTAGGTCAAACTGTTGATACGGCTATAATTTTGGAATTTCTACGCTTCTCAGAATTTTTCCACAAAAATCTTGTAAATTATGCAATATGATAGTTCTCGAAATATTAACTTGTATTTTCCATTTCTCAAATTTCTACAAATAGTTTCAAGAATGCCATGAGAATCCTTTGAAATTCTGATGTAAATAAACATATTTGTTTATTTTTTCGCTGTCTTTGTTTTGAAATATTGATAGCACATATGCGACGCTTCGTTTGTTTTTTCGTTTCTAAACTTTAAAAAAAAACTCCATTGTAGTATCGAAAAGTGAACTCTAATTTTCGAAACATATGCAGTTTACCGTACTTTATATTGCCGTAGTTCGATAAAAGGTTTCAAGTTATATAAATTACTACCATCTTATTGTTTTCGACTTCTCCTCAGATTCAACAGAATATATAAGATTCGATTGGATATGCTAGTAGGCATGGTTTATCTAGGCAAAACTTTTCCTATTCCTTCTTAGCTTATACCAAACAGGATTAATTTTGTTCCATAGATTCACAAAACAAGTTTTCGAGATCTTATTTTTTGACAATAACATCTTAAGATTACTTTGAGTAGCATAAACCCATCGTGAAATTAGCTGTTTCGTTCTTTGAATGTGTTGTTTGAAATCGCTCTGTTAATCTAGACTGGATGACTACATTTTGATTTTTTTAGCAAGATCATCAAGCTCACGCTTCTCCTGCTTGTCTCCCGCCACCGCCTCCGTGCAATGAAAGCTATCAAATGATTGTTCTAACCGGCGGACTAGTATATGGTATACCGAATCCAGCCAATAGAACTACAAAACACGTTTACAAGCCACAACGGATGGATGTGATTACTGCAGCTGAAAAAGTATTGACCATGATGGAGCCATCAAAAACTGCTTCATTTATTGAATCAAACAGAAATCATGGTTTGAAAATTCTCGAAATCTCTGTTCGAGACCAAGTGATCATACCAGGACTAATAGATGTACATGTTCATGCTATTGGAGGTGGCGGCGAACAAGGTTTGTTTGTTCATTGGATCTTAAATCTTTTTAGAAAAAGTGTGACTTTTATGGGCATCATACTGGTATTTTTTATTTATATTTTTTATACAAGAGTATTCAGGTCGATCAAAACGGTATCGTTTACGATCCGAAAACGAGCAACAAATGTTGTAAAAACGGAGTCTTTATTACAGTATAATGTTAATACGGTATTGCCGTTGTAAATGGTCATAAACATACCGTATTATATCAGTTTACGATCCTCATAAATAATCCTATAGAACGTTGTTTTCATCGTATTCCTATAAGCCTTTGGTCAATGAAGAGGGTTCATATCCATTTCCTTTCCTTCTCTCAAATAACACAAAAACCGTTATTTATTTATTTAAAGATAGGAGTGAGAAGTTATTGTTATTTTTTGTTACTAATAACAACAACTTTTTTAAAAATCTGTTATAAACAATATATCAATTACCAACTATGTTTTATTCTTAAAAAATTCTCAAATCGAATCACTACCGTTCTCATTTAGAGGTGTGAAACTACTGTTATTTCTATTGAGGGGTGAGAAGTTCTTGTTATTTTGTTGTGAATTCCTCGTCTGAATGGAAGGTCATGCTAAAAAACAAATAGTTTGTCTGTGTTGGTTTGTTGGGCTTGTGTCAGAGTCAAAGCTCATATCAAAGAAACTTAAGCATTACAACTTTTGACAACTTCTTTATAAGAGGCTACTCCTAAGCCCTCGAGTGCTATACTATCGGGATACCCATAGTTCCTCAAGTGTCATACTACAGAGGCGCCCTTGAGTCCTCAAGTGCCCTACTATAGAGGTACCCTTGGGTCCTCAAGTACCATACTATATGGGTACCCGTGGGTCGTCAAGTCGCTATTTAATATATAGAACTGCATTCACATCTCGTGAAATTCTATCAGGAGTTATTTTCAAAATAACAATAACTTCATACTCCTTGCCTTAATTGAGAGAGGTAGTCATTGGAATTGAGAATTTTCTACAGAATAAAACATTTTTTGTTATTGATCTGTTGTTTATAACAGATTTTAAAAAAAAAGTTATTGTTATTGATCTGTTATTTATAACAAATAACAAAAAAAGTGATTGTTATTTATAACAATAACAATAATTTCACACCCCTATTTAAAGAAACACTTAATACTCGATTTGTCACTGTAAATAATCTAAAAGTACAAAATAATATTATTACTTGCCTGGATTATTCAATCTAACAATTGATTTAGTCCATGAACTCTTCGTCAAAAAATTTCAGAAAAGAATAGCTTAAACCAGTACATAAGCGGTGTTCCTTAAGGAACCGTAAAACGTTTCGTAAGATAGCACTGTTGACTTTGCAAGAAATTCATATAATAATCAACAACTAGTTTCGAATGTATGAATCTAATGCTTGTTTATGCTCAGTCTTGACACGGCGACAAAGGTGAGTAAGAACTCTTTCATTTTACGCAAGGTTCACAACAATTGATCAAATAAAAGTAATGCAAAATATTGATAAAAGAGTCATTTAGTTTTCCTTAAAAACGTACAAAAGATATGTTCTATTTATCTTTGTTTCAGGTCCATATTCTCGAACTCCCGAAAGTCGTTTATCTCACCTGATAAATGGTGGATTAACAACGATTGTTGGAATACTTGGAACGGATGGTATGACAAGGAGGTCAGTAAAGTTTGACTGCTTCTTTTGCGTATTGTTCTAAAAGAAGGCAGAACTTCATTTGTAATTTGATAACATAGCTAATTGATAGTCATTTTTTCTGTTTACTCTTGTTAATGTACAATGACGAGCAGAAGATATCATAAATAGACTAACGTAGACTCATTGGGGTTAGTAGCCGTGTAGCCAAAACAAGATGGAAGATAGAAATGTCCAGGACAACCATTTATTTTTATAATCTGTATCTTGTCTTCTAATGAACGAAACATGTATCAACAATGTCATCATTTAAATTTTGTCACTGCTCATCGGAAATCCTTTCATTTCCACTGAATATTCTTTCGTTCCTGCATCAATTAGCTGGCATACCATACAATGACCTAGCTAGAATACGAAGCTGCTCTTTATTGAAGATTAATTTTGTTTTAACAATACAATCAGGTTTATCCTCACTCAATGGTTCAGGTTGACTTTCTTGAGAAAATTCCATCACTAAAACTTATTTTAAAAAAAAAAAATCACTTTTTTAATTTTTTCGATGTGTTTTTACTCTTTTGATTTTGCTAACATGGTCCTACGTTATCCTTCATATCTTTAATGAAAGACTATAGATAAGCGAAAAGGATCTTGGAACTTCTTACGATAAGTTCAACCGACTATGATACTGTCAAGTTAGATGCGCGCTTTATGTATGGTGACATGTATTTTATTTTCTGATGAGATCGCTCGATTGTATCATCTTTTAACTTCGCAATAATTTCTAGTTTCTGTGAGTTTTGAATTTGTAGAAATCACTTATTTCAGAATGATCAAATTCAATCAAAGGTGAATCGATTGTTTTTCAGAAGATCTCCAGATCTATTTTGTAGGATTCGAAATAATTTAAACCTTTTTATGGTCTCTAGAATGAGTTGATTCCAACCGATTATTTATAACGAAGAATGTCATGCATATTGTCATACATTTCGAATTTTAACTATAAAAAATTTCTACATGAAACTTTCTTATCCATATCTTTACTCAAAACTCACTTGAAAATATTAATTTTTCAGTGAAAATTTGTATCAAGCTCAAACTGATTTGTTTTAAGATTATAATTATCCATTAATATTCTCATGTTTTGCCTTTTATTTTAGTCTTTCATCATTACTACAAAAAATGAAAGTAAGTTTCTTTCTATTAAGAAAATTCACTTGCAACTCAGCTTTTCGTCATCTACAACTTTGACTGATAAAGAAAAGTTTTATAAGCAAATATTGCTTTTCATTTATGATGCATTTTTATCATTTTTCTGAAAAAATCTGTTCTATAACACTTGAAAATGATGTAAGTTGCTTAAGAGTATTTGTATTCAGCAAAAACTAGAGAATATTTTTTAAACTGTATTGCCAATTTCTTTCATACAGTAGCATCATTGATGAACGAAGCAGTTGTTTTTTTGTTGTCTATTTCAGAGTCTTGAGCATGATGGT